AAGCTGTGTCCTCAACGGGAAGAAATAAACCTGTGTCCTCAGGGAGAAGAAGTAAAGCTGTGGCTGCTGTTTTACTCAGGACTGTGGGTCTCTTTTCCACAGCAACAACAAGCAGGGGGAAGAAGTAAAGCTGTATCCTCAGTGGGAAGAAATAAAGCTGTGTCCTCAGGGAAAAGAAGTAAAGCCGTGGCTGCTGTTTTACTCAGCACTGTGGGTCTCTTTCCCACAGCAACAACCAGCAGGGGGAAGTAGTAAAGCTGTGTCCTCAGGGGGAAGAAATAAAGCTGTATCCTCAGGGAGAAGAAGTAAAGCTGTGGCTGCTGTTTTACTGTGCATATCTTTTCCCCAGCACCAACCAGCAACAGTCTGTTCTCAGGGAGAAGAAGTAAAGCTGTGGCTGCTGTTTTACTCATTACTGTGGGTCTTTTTCCCCACAGCAACAACCAGCAGGGGGGAGAAGTAAAGCTGTGTCCTCAGGGAGAAGAAATAAAGCTGTGTCCTCAGGGAGAAGAAGTAAAGCTGTGGCTGCTGTTTTACTCAGGACTGTGGGTCTCTTTTCCACAGCAACAACAAGCAGGGGGAAGAAGTAAAGCTGTATCCTCAGGGGAAGAAATAAAGCTGTGTCCTCAGGGAGAAGAAGTAAAGCTGTGGCTGCTGTTTTACTCAGCACTGTGGGTCTCTTTCCCACAGCAACAACCAGCAGGGGGAAGTAGTAAAGCTGTGTCCTCAGGGGGAAGAAATAAAGCTGTATCCTCAGGGAGAAGAAGTAAAGCTGTGGCTGCTGTTTTACTGTGCATATCTTTTCCCCAGCACCAACCAGCAACAGTCTGTTCTCAGGGAGAAGAAGTAAAGCTGTGGCTGCTGTTTTACTCATTACTGTGGGTCTTTTTCCCCACAGCAACAACCAGCAGGGGGGAGAAGTAAAGCTGTGTCCTCAGGGAGAAGAAATAAAGCTGTGTCCTCAGGGAGAAGAAGTAAAGCTGTGGCTGCTGTTTTACTCAGCACTGTGGGTCTCTTTCCCACAGCAACAACCAGCAGGGGGAAGTAGTAAAGCTGTGTCCTTAGGAAGAAGAAATAAAGCTGTGTCCTCAGGGAGAAGAAGTAAAGCTGTGGCTGCTGTTTTACTCAGCACTGTGGGTCTCTTTCCCCCAGCAACAACCAGCAGGGTGAAGAAGTAAAGCTGTGTCCTCAGAGGGAAGAAATAAATCTGTATCCTCAGGGAGAAGAAGTAAAGCTGTGGCTGTTTTACACAGCACTGTGGGTCTCTTTCCCACAGCAACAACCAGCATGGTGGGGGAGGAGAGAAGTAAAGTGTGTCCTCAGAGGGAAGAAATAAAGCTGTGTCCTCAGGGAGAAGAAGTAAAGCTGTGGCTGCTGTTTTACTCAGCACTTTGGGTCTCTTTCCCCCAGCAACAACAAGCAGGGGGGAGAAGTAAAGCTGTGTCCTCAGAGGGAAGAAACAAAGCTGTATCCTCAGGGAGAAGAAGTAAAGCTGTGGCTGCTGTTTTACTCAACACTGTGGGTCTTTTTCCCCACAGCAACAACCAGCAGGAGAAAGAAGTAAAGCTGTGTCCTCCGGTGGAAAAAATAAAGCTGTATCCTCAGGGAGAAGAAGTAAAGCTGTGACTGCTGTTTTACTCAGCACTGTGGGTCTCTTTCCCCCGGAAACAACCAGCAGGGGGAAGAATTAAAGCTGTGTCCTCAGGGAGAAGAAGTAAAGCTGTGGCTGCTGTTTTACTCAGCACTATGGGTCTCTTTCCCACAGCAACAACCAGCAAGGGGGGAGAAGTATAGCTGTGTCATCAGGGGGAAGAAATAAAGCCGTGTCCTCAGGGAGAAGAAGTAAAGCTATGGCTGCTGTTTTACTCAGCACTTTGGGTCTCTTTCCCCCAGCAACAACAAGCAGGGGGGAGAAGTAAAGCTGTGTCCTCAGAGGGAAGAAATAAAGCTGTGTCCTCAGGGAGAAGAAGTAAAGCTGTGGCTGCTGTTTTACTCAACACTGTGGGTCTCTTTCCCACAGCAACAACCAGCAGGGGGAAGTAGTAAAGCTGTGTCCTCAGGGGGAAGAAATAAAGCTGTATCCTCAGGGAGAAGAAGTAAAGCTGTGACTGCTGTTTTACTCAGCACTGTGGGTCTCTTTCCCCCGGAAACAACCAGCAGGGGGAAGAATTAAAGCTGTGTCCTCAGGGAGAAGAAGTAAAGCTGTGGCTGCTGTTTTACTCAGCACTATGGGTCTCTTTCCCACAGCAACAACCAGCATGGTGGAGAAGTAAAGCTGTGTCCTCAGGGAGAAGAAATAAAGCTGTGTCCTCAGGGAGAAGAAGTAAAGCTGTGGCTGCTGTTTTACTCAGCACTGTGGGTCTCTTTCCCACAGCAACAACCAGCAGGGGGAAGTAGTAAAGCTGTGTCCTTAGGAAGAAGAAATAAAGCTGTGTCCTCAGGGAGAAGAAGTAAAGCTGTGGCTGCTGTTTTACTCAGCACTGTGGGTCTCTTTCCCCCAGCAACAACCAGCAGGGTGAAGAAGTAAAGCTGTGTCCTCAGAGGGAAGAAATAAATCTGTATCCTCAGGGAGAAGAAGTAAAGCTGTGGCTGTTTTACACAGCACTGTGGGTCTCTTTCCCACAGCAACAACCAGCATGGTGGGGGAGGAGAGAAGTAAAGCTGTGTCCTCAGGGGGAAGAAATAAAGCCGTGTCCTCAGGGAGAAGAAGTAAAGCTGTGGCTGCTGTTTTACTCAGCACTTTGGGTCTCTTTCCCCCAGCAACAACAAGCAGGGGGGAGAAGTAAAGCTGTGTCCTCAGAGGGAAGAAACAAAGCTGTATCCTCAGGGAGAAGAAGTAAAGCTGTGGCTGCTGTTTTACTCAACACTGTGGGTCTTTTTCCCCACAGCAACAACCAGCAGGAGAAAGAAGTAAAGCTGTGTCCTCCGGTGGAAAAAATAAAGCTGTATCCTCAGGGAGAAGAAGTAAAGCTGTGACTGCTGTTTTACTCAGCACTGTGGGTCTCTTTCCCCCGGAAACAACCAGCAGGGGGAAGAATTAAAGCTGTGTCCTCAGGGAGAAGAAGTAAAGCTGTGGCTGCTGTTTTACTCAGCACTATGGGTCTCTTTCCCACAGCAACAACCAGCAAGGGGGGAGAAGTATAGCTGTGTCATCAGGGGGAAGAAATAAAGCCGTGTCCTCAGGGAGAAGAAGTAAAGCTATGGCTGCTGTTTTACTCAGCACTTTGGGTCTCTTTCCCCCAGCAACAACAAGCAGGGGGGAGAAGTAAAGCTGTGTCCTCAGAGGGAAGAAATAAAGCTGTGTCCTCAGGGAGAAGAAGTAAAGCTGTGGCTGCTGTTTTACTCAACACTGTGGGTCTCTTTCCCTGCGCAACAACCAGCAGGGGAAAGAAGTAAAGCTGTGTCCTCCAGGGGAAGAAATAAAGCTGTATCCTCAGGGAGAAGAAGTAAAGCTGTGGCTGTTTCACTCAGCATTCTGGGTCTCTTTCCCCCAGCAAAAACAAGCAGAGGGAAGAAGTAAAGCTGTGTCCTCAGGGGGAAGAATTAAAGCTGTGGCTGCTGTTTTACTCAACACTGTGGGTCTCTTTCCCCCAGCAACAACCAGCAGGGGGGAGAAATAAAGCTGTGTCCTCAGCGGAAAGAAATAAAACTGTCCTCAAGTAGAAGAAGTAAAGCTGTGGCTGCTGTTTTACTCAGCACTGTGGGTCTCTTTCCCCCAGCAACAAACAGCAGGGGAAAGAAGTAAAGCTGTGTCCTCAGGGGGAAGAACTAAAGCTGTGTCCTCAGGGGGAAGAAAGAAGAAGTAAAGCTGTGGCTGCTGTTTTACTCAGCACTATGGGTCTCTTTCCCACAGCAACAACCAGCAAGGGGGGAGAAGTATAGCTGTGTCATCAGGGGGAAGAAATAAAGCCGTGTCCTCAGGGAGAAGAAGTAAAGCTATGGCTGCTGTTTTACTCAGCACTTTGGGTCTCTTTCCCCCAGCAACAACAAGCAGGGGGGAGAAGTAAAGCTGTGTCCTCAGAGGGAAGAAATAAAGCTGTGTCCTCAGGGAGAAGAAGTAAAGCTGTGGCTGCTGTTTTACTCAACACTGTGGGTCTCTTTCCCTGCGCAACAACCAGCAGGGGAAAGAAGTAAAGCTGTGTCCTCCAGGGGAAGAAATAAAGCTGTATCCTCAGGGAGAAGAAGTAAAGCTGTGGCTGTTTCACTCAGCATTCTGGGTCTCTTTCCCCCAGCAAAAACAAGCAGAGGGAAGAAGTAAAGCTGTGTCCTCAGGGGGAAGAATTAAAGCTGTGGCTGCTGTTTTACTCAACACTGTGGGTCTCTTTCCCCCAGCAACAACCAGCAGGGGGGAGAAATAAAGCTGTGTCCTCAGCGGAAAGAAATAAAACTGTCCTCAAGTAGAAGAAGTAAAGCTGTGGCTGCTGTTTTACTCAGCACTGTGGGTCTCTTTCCCCCAGCAACAAACAGCAGGGGAAAGAAGTAAAGCTGTGTCCTCAGGGGGAAGAACTAAAGCTGTGTCCTCAGGGGGAAGAAGTAAAGCTGTGGCTGCTGTTTTACTCAGCACTGTGGGTCTCTTTCCCACAGCAACAACCAGCAGGGGGGAGAAGTAAAGCTGTGTCCTCAGCAGGAAGAAATAAAGCTGTGTCCTCAGGGAGAAGAAGTAAAGCTGTGGCTGCTGTTTTACTCAGCACTGTGGATATCTTTTCCCCAGCACCAACCACCAACAGTCTGTGGGTCTCTCTCACCCCACCCAACACCAGGGGATAGGGGAAAATCTTCAGCAAGTAGTCTGCTACTGGGCCCAGAGAGATCTTCCCATAAATGCAGATTGTTGTACCATACTTAATTTTTTTTAAAAGACACTCCCTGAAAATAAACCATAGAGTGTTTTCTTGATAAAAATATATATAAGGCAGTGTCTTATTTTCAGGGAAACACGCTATTAATAGTCCTACTCAGGTCGTCCATATTCATAGATGAACCACAATCTCAGCAGCAGGTCTCCCACAGTTTAGGAGAGCTATTTCACTTTGCAGGTAACAAACACAAGAACATAACCCTAGATAGTGGCAAACAAGGTAAACACAGAAGGACAAAGTCTGCTCTGATAAGCTCTTGCCAACGGGAAGCGATCGACAGCAATGAAACCCGTCCAGTTCAGAGACTGAGAAAAGGCCCCCTTTTTGGACCCCAAGTCTCCACAGTTTTATAAAGACCATATATTTTTTAGTGTCTGCTTCCTCAGTTTGATGACCCACCAGATGGATCAGACTACAATTCGCATTGGCTATGCTAGTTGAAGATGAGGAGGTTCGAGGAAGCAAAGGAGGAAGCTAACTACATAAAGAATGTTTGCAAGATGAAATAACAAGTGATTTAAACCTTGCAGATTGTAGCAAGGTGCCGCTTTTCCAGGTGTGCTGGAGATTTACACTCAGCTCTGGAGCAGAGCCTTTCAGAATTGGAAAATGTGCATCTTCTCTTTTTGGAGATGAGCCATTGAAGACTGGAGACTCAGAACCTGGCCCTAAGATCTGGCAATGATATTCCTCTCTACAGTGCTAAACGTAATTCTTTCCCACACTGCCATCTCTTTTTGCACCATGTTTTAAGGAGATTGAATAATGATAATAGTATCTGGGTTGTGAGTTTTCCAGGCTGTATGGCCATGTTCAAGAAGCATTTTCTCCTGATGTTTCGCCTGCATCTATGGCAGGCATCCTCAGAGGTTGTGAGGTCTGTTGGAAACTAGGAAAATTGAGTTTATATATCTGTGGAATGTTCAGGGTGGAGAAAGAACTCTTGTCTGTTGGAGGTAGGTGTGAATGTTTCAATTGGCCACCTTGAATAGCATTTAATGGTCTTGCAGCTTCAAAGTCTGGCTTCTTACTGCCTGGGGGAATCTMTTGTTGGGAGGTATATAAACCCCATTTTTCTAATTTCCAACAGACCTCACAACCTCTGAGGCCTAGCAGTTTGAAGGTCTGGCTTCTTACTGGTTGGAGGAATCCTTTGTTGGGAGGTATATAAACCCCATTTTCATAGTTTCCAACAGACCTCACAAACTCTGAGGCCTAGCAGTTTCAAGGTCTGGATTCTTACTACCTGGGGGAATCCTTTGTTGGGAGGTATATAAACCCTATTTTCCTAGTTTCCTCAGAGGTGGATGCTTGCCATAGATGCAGGCAAAATGTCAGAAGAAATGCCTCTAGAACATGGCCCTATAGCCCGAAAAAATCCACAAGAACCTAGAAAGAACTCTTGTTTGTTTGAGGTAGGTGTGAATGTAGCAACTGGCCACCTTGATTAGCATTTGATGCTCTAGCAGTTTCAAGGTCTGGCTTCTTACTCCCTAGTGGAATCCTTTGTTGGGAGGTACATAAACCCCATTTTCCTAGTTTCCAACAGACCTCACAACCTCTGAGGATGCCTGCCACAAATGCTGGTGATATCGTCGAAGGCTTTCATGGCTGGAATCACTGGATTGTTGTGGGTTTTCCAGGCTGTATGGCCATGTTCAAGAAGCATTCTCTCCCGATGTTTCGCCTGCATCTATGGCAGGCATCCTCAGAGACTGTGAGGTCTGTTGGAAACTCTGAAAAATTGGTTTATATACCTCTCAACAAAGGATTCCCCCAGGCAGTAAGAAGCCAGACTTTGAAGCTGCAAGGCCATTAAATGCTAATCAAGGTGGTCAATTGAAACACTGACACCTGCTTAAAGCAAACAAGAGTTGTTTCTCCCACTATGAACCTTCCACAGATATATAAACCCCATTTTTGTAGACCCCTCAACCTCTGAGGATGCCTGCCACAGATGCAGGCAAAACATCAGGAGAGAATGCTTCTTGAACATGGCCATACAGCCTGGATATTCACAACAACCCAGTGATCCCAGCCACAAAAGCCTTCGATGCTAATAGCAGTGTTTCTCAACCTGGGGGTCGGGACCCCTGGAGTGGTCGTGAGGGAGTGTCAGAGGGGTCACCAAAGACCACCAGAAAACAGTATTTTCTGTTGGTCATGGAGGTTCTGTGTGGGAAGTTCGGCCCAATTCAATCCTTGATAGTGTTCAAATGCTCTTTGATTGTAGGTGAACTATAAATCCCAGCAACTACAACTCCCAAATGTCAAGGTCTATTTCCCCCAAACTCTACTAGTGTTTACATTTGGGCATACTGAGAATTCGTGCCAAGTTTGGTCCAGATCCATCATTGTTGGAGTCTACAGTTCTCTCTGGATATAGGTAAACTACAACTCCCAAAACTCAAGGTCAGTGCTCACCAAACCCTTCCAGTATTTTCCGTTGGTCAGGGAAGAACTGTGTGCCAAGTTTGATTCAGTTCCATCATTGGTGGAGTTCAGAATTCTCTTTGATTGTAGGTGAACTATAAATCCCAGCAACTACAACTCCCACGGGGCAAAATCAATACCCTCCCCCAATCTGTTACTATTCATAACAGCAGCAAAATGAGTTATGATGTAGCAGCAAAACTAATTTTATGGTTGGGGGTCACCATAACACGAGGAAGCGTATTAAGGGGTTGTGGCATTAGGAAGGTTGAGAACCACTGCTAATAGTATCCGCTCCAATGACGGGAGTTGTCATAAACGGCAATCTGCTAGGTCACACAGTTCCCAACCAACCTTAAAACAGCAACAAGCTGGAATGCACTAAGCTATTTTGTTAATGGGTGCCATTTTACAACACCTTGAGACATCATCTCTTCTTCCTACCTGGTGGAACGTGATGAAGAGTGCAGCCCACACAAAGAGACCGGAGACAGCCTTGGCTGTTGAAGTGGTCAAAAAGAGGTGCTGGTTGTCCTGAGAGGCATTCTGTCCCGTTCGGAGTTGGGAGCCATCAGCCACAATGAAGTGGCCGGTCAGCATTGGGTGGACACCTAACTCCAAGGTGGTACTAGGAACCATGCTGGTGGCCAGTAGTTCTCCTGCGGGAGGAGAGGACTGGTTGATGTAGGTGGAATCATTCATCTGCAGAGGAAGAGAGAAGGAGCAAAGGCAAACATCTCAGAGGGAGAGGAGTCAAAGTACAACGGGAAGAGATAACGGCCAGCTTATAAAACGATGCAGGCAGAAGGAGTCAGTGAACAAAGAACCATTGAATGGTTTTACAACCTTGGCTGGTTCAGTTAGGTGTCTTCATCCATTTGCATTATTTTCTATCACAACAACACACACTGCTTGCTTCTTGCCACAGCTTGATGCAGAACAGAGGGTGAGTCCTGGCACCAGATCTGTCACTCCTCCTCACCTGTCACCAAGGAGGCTGTCCAGACCTCAAATCGGTGTCTAGCTGCTGTGTCGGACTGGATGAGAGCTAACAAATTGAAACTGAATCCAGACAAGACAGAGGTCCTACTGGTCAGTCGGAAGGCCGAACAGGGCATAGGGTTACAGCCTATGTTGGACGGGGTTACACTCCCCCTGAAGACGCAGGTTCGCAGCTTCGGAGTGATCCTGGACTCATCGCTGAGCCTGGAACCCCAGGTCTCAGCGGTGGCCAGGAGAGCTTTTGCGCAATTAAAACTTGTGCATCAGTTGCGCCCGTACCTCGGGAAGTCTGATCTGGCCACAGTGGTCCACGCTGTTGTCACATCCTGTATAGACTACTGCAACACACTCTACATGGGGTTGCCCTTGAAGACTGTTTGGAAACTTCAACTGGTCCAGCGAGCGGCAGCCAGATTGCTCACCGGAGCGACATACAGGGAGCACACCATCGCCCTGCTGTGTCAGCTCCACTGGCTGCCGATTAAGTTCTGAGCACAATTCAAGGTGCTGGTTTTGACCTACAAAACCCTTTACAGTTCCGGTCCAGCGTATCTGTCCGAACGTATCTCCCTCTACGTCCCACCCCGGAATCTGAGATCATCTGGGGAGGCCCTGCTCTCGACCCCACTGCTATCACAAGTGAGGCTGGTGGGGACGAGGAGCAGGGCCTTCTCAGTGGTGGCCCCCACCTGTGGAAGTCACTCCTGGGGGAAATCAGGGCATCAACATCCCTCCTTGCCTTCAGGAGGAAGGTAAAGACGTGGTTGTGGGACCAGACCTTTGGGCACCCTGACAATTAGATATGGAAACCAGATGGATAGGACCAACAATTTGTGGAAATTGGAACTTAAACTATGAGTCTGCGAAACGCTGACCATCAATGAGGTTTGTATTGATTTTATTGCTTTTATTGCTTTTATGGTTGTTTTTGCCCCTTATAATCACTGTTTCCTGTTAATTGTTACTGCTAAACTGCTGTTTGTTAATTGTTGTTATTGTCCTTTGCTGTTATGTAATGCAGGCATCGAATTGTGCCTTGCTTTTGTAAGCCGCCCTGGGTGTCCCCCCCCCCCCCCCCCCGGGGTGAGAAGGGCGGGGTAGAAGCAACCAAAATAAATAAATAAATGACAATTGGGGGGGAAGGAGAAAGTAAATCCTTAAGAAAGTGTATTATCGAAGGCTTTCATGGCCGGAATTGTTATGAATAACTTTCCCACATTGGAAAAGAATATCCCATTTCTGACACCAATTATGTCGTGAATGACTTTTCAATAGCTTTGAAGCATAGGTTCTTTTTATTGCAATTTCCAGGGTGAGAAGATATATCAGATTACAGAAAAACATTTAGACAAAGAATGACATTAGACATACAGACATACAGATTTGATGCAGTTACATTGGATGTACAATTACATTGGTTAACAAACAAACAAACAAACAAACCCTCACTACTAGGCCTGTGCGGTTTCGTTCGTTAATTTTGTAATTCGTTATTAATTCGTTATTTTTGGCATTTACGAAGCGATATCAAAACACATTTTCAAACCCGGAAGGGTTTTAAAATATCGAACCGGCAACCCCCATAGATTTAACGAGCTTCCGCTCGTTTCGTTAATGGGATGGAGGCTGCTGGTGCCTGGGAGCCAATCCGGCGCTCCCAAGCAGTGCACCGTGGCTGTTTTTGATTGGCCGGCGAGCCCTTTAAAAGCGGCTCCGCGCGGCCGTAGCTCATTGCTGCAGAGGGCGAGGGAGAGAGAAGAGGTCCGGGAGGGTTTGCATTGGGTTGGCTTGGCTTGGCTAGCAACTGGATTGGATTCATTCCTTGCTCATTCCTTGCTTGGATTCATTCCTTGCTGCTGTGAGTGCTGCTTATATTCCTTGCTTGGATTCATTACTTCCTTCGGTTTTTGTGAATTTGTTTCTTAATTTTTTGGTTAATTTTCCATTTTTAAATATTTTTTAATATTATTTTTTATATTATTTTTTAATATTATTTTAATATTATTCTTAAAAAAAAAAAATATTCTAAAAAAGAAAAGACTCTTCTGTTGGTGTGTGCTCTCATTTGCTGTCTCCTGCCTGTGTTTGGTCCACATCAGGGCCATTTTTTGGTTAATTTTCCATTTTTAAATATTTTTTAATATTATTTTTTAATATTATTTTAATATTATTCTTAAAAAATACAAAAAATATTCTAAAAAAGAAAAGACTCTTCTGTTGCTGTGTGCTCTCATTTGCCCTGTCTCCTGCTGTGTTTGGTCCACATCAGGGCCATTTTTTGGTTAAGTTTCCATTTTTGAATATTTTCTAAAAATACCTGTAATACCTGCCTTTTATTCATAAAAAATACAAAAAATATTCTAAAAAAGAAAAGACTCTTCTGTTGGTGTGTGCTCTCATTTGCTGTCTCCTGCCTGTGTTTGGTCCACATCAGGGCCATTTAAAAAATACAAAAAATATTCTAAAAAAATAAAAGAGTCTTCGGTGGCTGTGTGTGGGTTTGTCATTTGTGTAGTTCCAACCAGTGCGCTCCTTTTGCCAACACAAAGTGCTACATACATACACTGCTCGCTCATCATTTGTGTAGTTCCAACCAGTGCGCTCCTTTTGCCAACACAAAGTGCTACATACACTGCTCGCTCATTTGTGTAGTTCCAACCAGTGCGCTCCTTTTGCCAACACAAAGTGCTACATACACTGCTCGCTCATCATTTGTGTAGTTCCAACCAGTGCGCTCCTTTTGCCAACACAAAGTGCTATACATACACTGCTCGCTCATCATTTGTGTAGTTCCAACCAGTGCGCTCCTTTTGCCAACACAAAGTGCTACATACACTGCTCGCTCATCATTTGTGTAGTTCCAACCAGTGCGCTCCTTTTGCCAACCCAAAATACTTAATAACGAAGTTTTTAATAACGAAGTTTTTAATAACGAAGTTTTTAATAACGAAGTTTCGGGAGTCGCTTTTGCGCATGCGCAATCGCGTCCGCCGTTTAACGAATCGATTCATTATAACCTTAACGAATCGACCCCCGCGCCAATAACGAAGCTTCGGAAGCGATTTTGCGCATGCGCGGGGGTCCGCCATCTTAACGAATCGATTCGTTAATATTTACGAAATTTCGTAAATACCAAAACTTTTTGGGGGGAAAATTTTGTAATTATTTTAAATATCAAAACAAAAAAACACCCCAATTACAAATCGATTTTAGAACCAAATTTTTTCTTGATCAACCAGGCCTACTCACTACCTCTGAGGATGCTTGCCATAGATGCAGGCGAAACGTCAGGAAAAAATGCCTCTAGAACATGGCCCTATAGCCCAAAAAAACCCACAAGAACCTAAACAAAAGGAGAATTACATTTTCACTTAACATTCACACACATGTACACACATTCATCCACATGAATGAAATATTATCGTAATTAAAGCCTTGGCAGACCGTGCAAAAAGGATCTGCGAAGCCCACCTCCCCCAAGATGAACTGAACCACCTCAACTGGGCTCTCCAGGCCAATGGAGACTCCACCTCAGACATCAGAAGAGCTGCAAGACCGAGAACAAGCCACGAGAGTCAAGACAAAGACCCACCCAGAGGAAAAGTGTTCCTGCCATACATCAAGGGAACCACTGACCGCATAAGAAAACTGATGAGGAAACACAACATGCAAACCACTTACAGACCCACCAAGAAAATCCAACAAATGCTACGTTCAGCAAAGGACAAGAGGGATCCTCTCACCTCTGCAGGAGTCTACCGTATACCATGCAGCTGTGGACAAGTCTACATAGGGACCACCAAACGCAGCATTGCCCAAACACAAATCAAGGAACATGAAAGGCACTGCAGACTACTTCAACCAGAGAAGTCAGCCATAGCAGAGCACCTGATGAACCAACCTGGACACAGCATATTATTTGAGAACACAGAAATCCTGGACCACTCTCACAACCACCATGTCAGACTACACAGAGAAGCCACTGAAATCCACAAGCATGTGGACAATTTCAACAGAAAGGAGAAACCATGAAAATGAACAAAATCTGGCTACCAGTATTAAAAAACTCTAAAATTACAACAGCAAAACAGCAGAGAGGAAACAACCAGGCACATCTTAACACCTCTCAACAAAAGATTCCCCCAGGCTCAGCCAGGCCTTCAAATGCTAATGAAGGTGGTCAGTTGAAACATTCACACCTAGCTCCAGCAGAGAAGAGCTCTTTGCCCCACCCCAGTCATTCCACAGATATATAAACCCATTTTCCTAATTCCAACAGACCTCACTCCCTCTGAGGATGCTTGCCATAGATGCAGGCGAAACGTCAGGAGAGAATGCCTCTAGAACATGGCCATATAGCCCAAAGAAACCCACAAGAACCTATTATCATATAATTTTCTCCCTCCTTGGAGAAGCACCTCTTAGGCCAGACCTTGCTTTCCTGCAGACTGCCAACGTACAGTTCCATAATTTCCATAACGCCATAACTTCAAAAGGCTGAAATGCCAAAACTTCTTCCCTAAGTACAATGCCAAGGACCAGATCTCTGTTTTCCATACAGCAGAACCTGACTCTCTGGACAAAATCTAAGACTCCAAAAGCACACTTCTTCCTCTTCCCTTGAGAAAGAAGCCCCAAAGTGACCAGACTGCTCCCGTGCAAATCTGCCACTCTCCGAATACACCATCTCTCTCCTTCCC